GGGGGATCCTGAGGGGATTTTGGGGATCCTGAGGGGATTTTGGGGATCCTGAGGGGATTTCGGGGATCCTGAGGGGATTTTGGGGGGTCCTGAGAGGATTTTGGGGATCCTGAGGGGATTTTGGGGATCCTGAGGGGATTTTGGGGATCCTGATTGGAATTTTGGGGATCCTGAGGGGATTTTGGGGATCCTGAGGGGATTTTGGGGATCCTGAGGGGATTTTGGCAGATCCTGAGGGGATTTTGGGGATCCTGATTGGAATTTTGGGGATCCTGAGGGGATTTTGGGGAGTCCTGAGGAGATTTTGGGGATCCTGATTGGAATTTTGGGGATCCTGAGGCAGATCTGAGGGGGATCTCAGGGGGGTCTCAGTGGAGACCAAAGTGCGAATAAGAATTTGGGGGGGGGGGTCACTCACCGGCCTCTCCCGCCGCCTCCACCACGAGGGTCCCGCCGGGAGGGTCCTGAGGGGGAGGGGGAGGGGCAGAGAGCTCCGTGAGGGGCGCGCCCCTCCCCCGCAGCGGACCCCGCCCCTCCCCCCGCTCACAGCTACCGCCCGAATGCCCAAAACCTCTCAAAACCCTCCCAAAAAAACCCCCAAACCGCCCGAAAACGCCCCAAAGAGCGGCCCCGGCTCGGCCTCCCCTCAGACCTCGGCGCCTCCCGCCGCCTCCATCGCCGCGCGCGGTGACGTCAGCACGCAGCGCGTAGGGGGCGTGGTCTCACCCTTTTATGGGCAAAGCCACGCCCACCGCGCGGGCTTTGTGCTGCCTGATTGGCCACGCCCATCGAGCCAAGCCACGCCCCTCGCTGGAAAGCCACGCCCACCGCGCGGGCTTTGTGTTGCCTGATTGGCCACGCCCATTGTGTTAAGCCACGCCCCTTCGGGTTTAGGCCACGCCCATGTGGAATTTTGGGGGGGGGTCCCGGTGGTTCGGGACCCCCCAAAATTGTCCCGAAAAACGCTCAAAAATAGCTCCGAAAATGAATAAATCCCGAGAAAACGACAAAAATGAATGAATTTCAAAAAATTAAAAAATGCTTAAAAATGAAGGAAGCGTCCAAACGAATCCCAAGATTTAATAAATCAATAAAAATTAGGAAATGCCTAAAAATTGGTTTATTCTAAAAAAATGATGAACCCCTCCAAAAGTGTATAAATCACAAAAAAATGAATAAACCTCCCCAAAAAAAGAATCTCAAAAAGTGTATAAATAAATCCTCAAAAATGAATCCCAAAAAAATGAATAAATTCCCAAAGTTAAATTAATGAATCCCCCCAAAATGAATAAATTCCCCAAAAATAAGTAGATGCAAAATAAAAAGAGGAAACGTCAAAAATTTATGAATCGCTAAAAAGTAATAAAGCCCCAAAAAAATTAATTACCAAAAATGAATAAATGCCAAAACAAGAATAAATCTCCAAATGTAATAAATCCCAAATAAATTAATCAAGCCCCAAAATTAAATTCATAAATCTCCCCAAAATGAATCCCAAAAAAGATATCAAAAACAAAAAGGAAAATCCCCAAAAAATTAGTAACTCTCCCAGAAAAATCCCAAATAAATTACTAAACCCCCAAACTTCAGTTAATAAACCCTCCCAAAAATGACTAAGTCTCCAAAAATAAATTAATAAATCCCAAAAAAATCAACTAAAAACCCATTTTGAATTTTTTTCAAAATCCGTTTATTACAAAAAAAACTCCAAAAAAAACTCCGGGGTTGGGGGAGGGGTCCCACGCCCCTCCCCCACCCAAAAAAGGGTCTCACACCCCCCCAAAATCCCCAAAAAGGGACCCCAAATTCTCCTTTCTACCCCCTAAACCCCCGCCAAAAAACCCCAAATTTTTGGGGTCACCTCCCCC